CTTTCTGATCTCACCACTCCCCTGACCTCTTAGATTAGTCCCTGCTCTGTGGCCTCAAAGCAATACCCTTCGAGCACTTCTGCTTTATTGTAATTGCACTTATACTAATGTCTTTCTGACCTATAAACTCTCAGAGAGCACGGATCCATTCTGGATCGTCACAGAATCCTTGGGGCCTGACAGATTCTCACTACCAGGTGCCGACTCACGGTGACCCCCTGAGTATCAGAGTAGACCTATACTCCAGGGGTTTTCTATAGGTGGCTTTTCAGGAGAGCACAGGGCCTTTCTCCCAAGGTAACTCTGGGTGGACTCAATCCTCTATCCTTTTGGTTATTGGTTGGGCACGTTACTTGTTTTCACCAATATGCATTGAGTAAAAGATATAAGGAAATGGAGAGGGAGGCTTAGTATTCTAAAAGAAAAAGCTTCACAGTTCCAATTTTATAATGTCTACAAAAAAAAAAAAAAAAAAGACAAAACATACTTAAGAGATGAGAGGGCAGCTGTTGCTTTTTCCTCTCCACAGTGACAAGAGAACTTTCACTCCTCTGATAGCAGAAAACAGGATTAAAGGACTGTGTGTGAGCTTTCCTTCCACTGTAATCACAAGTTCTTCCTACAGGGCAGGGACTTATCTAATTGCTAAGATAGGGCAAAAGGTCAATGTTCCCATCAGGTTCCACCCCTAAAATCTCACTGGCGCTTGGACTTGCACACCCTCCAAAGAGGAAGTTTGCCTTTCCATCTCAACATCTCTGAGAAGAGTTCTCTGGGGCAGGGCTTTCCCTCTCACCCTCAAAGGGGGCTCAAAACCAACCAAACTCACTGCCACAGCATCCATTCTGATCCTGTGGGTCTCTGAGGCTGTCAATCTTCATGGGAGGAGAAAGTCTCACCCTTCCTCTGCAGAGCAGCTGGTGGTCTCGCACTGCTGACCTTGTGGTTGGTAGCCCAACACATAAGCCACTGTGCCACCAGGGCCCTTTTCCCTAGGGGGGGACCTTATTTGTATTGGTTTGATCTGTCCCTGAGTAGGGCGGTTGGTTAATGCACTCAGCCACTAACCAAGAGAGGGGCCTGGAAGAAAGATGTGCTGAGCTACTTCTGAAAACTGTCAGCTGCTGAAAACCCGCTGGAGTGCAGTTCTACTCTGGTACACACGGGGCCACCAGGAGTCAGAATCAACTCAAGGGAAGCTGGTTTTGTGTTTTGGTTTTAGCAGTTTCACCTCACACTTACTGCCATTGACTCGATTCTGACTCATAGCAACCCTGTAGAACACAGTAGGATTGCCCCCTTTGGGTTTCTGAGACTGCAACTCTTTCCAGGAGTAGAAAGCCCCATCTTTCCCCCATGGAGTGGCTAATGGTTTTGAATTGTTGACCTTTCAGATCCGCAGCCTGATGAGTCACCACTACACCACGAGGGCTCCTACATAGAAGAAAGCCTCATTTGCTCCTGTGGAATGGCTGATGGTTTCAAATTGTTGACCTTGTGGTTAGTTTCCCAACCTAAGTAAATTAAGAAGAAACAGTAAATAGTCTAACCTGAGTTCTTCAACCCTGTCTTACCAGAAATGAAAATCAAACAGTTATCTGAACTACTGAGAGCATTTTAATCCTCATCTGGCTTCTTACATCTGACAGCAATTTGATTAGAATCTGGAGAGGTGGCACATTGTCAGCACACAGAAACGCTCCACCATGAACAATGGTAACTGCAGTCTCGAGAAGCCCTAGGGCAATGGGCTAGTAATCAAAAGGTCATGGTTCAAACCTAACAGCTGCTCCTTGGGAGCAAAATTAAGCAGTCTGCACCTGTAAAGATGTACAGTACAGCCTCAGAAACCGTACATAGCAGTTTCCCAAAGTGGGCAGCACCACCCCTTGGGGAAGCTGGAACTACTGGGGGGAGGGGTGCTGTGTAAGCAGATACCTACACTTTATCCTGGATTATGGGCTGTAGTCGTTTCTAATTTCAACAGGGGCCTTCAGTAATGTGTTTGTTTTCTGTAAAAGTGAGTGGGAGACTAAAGGATTGCTATGAGTTGGAAGTGACTCGATGGCAGTGGGCTTGGGTTGCTTGCAGCCTGACTTGAATATTCTAGAGGGAAAAGCGTGGAAGAGCAAGGAGGGATGAGGAATCCAATGAAGATTGCCTCCCCTTTCTTAACTTTGACACTTTCTTTATGCTTAAAAAAAAATGTCCTGGTGTCTCTATGGGCTAAGCATCAAAGCACTGGGTCAAAGCAGCACTGGGTCACTAATCACAAGGTCAACAGTTCAAACGCTACCAGTAACTCTGTGGAGCAAGATGGGGCTGGCTGTTCCTATAAAGGTTTACAGTCTTGGAAACCTTAAAGGGCAGTTCTACTACCCTATCTACTACTGTTCTTCTACCCTATCCTAAAAGGTCTCAATCCCACCTAATAGGATTTGATTGAAGCTTTTGTCCCATCTCCAGTCAAAACTTTCATTTCCTCAGTGCAGCTAATCAAGGGAAAGAAATTGGTTTAAATCCACTCACAGTAAAATAAGCAAACTGGCTAACAGTCCCCAACCCTTGAGCCCTAGCAGAGCTGGAGATCCGGTGAAATCTGTGCGCACCAGAACGCCACAGGCCGCCTTGCTTTTGCAGGTCTCCTAAGTTTTCCGCCTTTGACAGGGTGCAGGCAGCGCACCTTTCTCAGTGGGAACGAGGAGTTGTTCTTTGCTGACAGATTTCCACCTAACAGCGGTTTCAGTATCCTCGGGTTTTACTGGTTTTTCTATGTATGTTCATTATTTCTCTATCTTTTTTTCCCTTTATCTTTTTTAAGCTAAGTAAATGAAAGTCATTTCAGAGAGATGGAGGAGAATGCAAGAATGTCTTTAGCAGTGGTTCTCAACCTGTGGGTCTTGACCCCTTTGAGGGTTGAACAATCTTTTCACAGGGGTCACCAGATTCATAAGAGTAACAAAATAACAGTTATGAAGTAACAACAAAAATAGTTTTATTGTTGCGGGTCACCACAACATGAGGAACTGTATTAAAAGGCCGCAGCGTAATTAAGGTTGAGAACCACTGTCAGCATTTCCCAGTCATCATCTCCCCCAATGCGTCCCCACTTTTCACTGCCCCCCACTTTCAGTCCTTCCCAACAAATGCAAGACACGGCACTGAGCACGCCAAGGCAAGGCAAGGTCACCTCGGGGAAAACTCATCTTTCTGGAAACAGGCTGTCACATCTCTTCCAGAGCAGCCAGGTGAGTTCAAACTGCAGATACCAGC